TTGTTCCACACGCAGTACTTTCCCAGAGAGTGAATGTGGCCAGTGCGTGAAACTCACCATCTGTGCCAAAATAAGTTACTATGAATATGATTATTTATTACCGACACTAACCTACTATTAATCATTAGTATAGGCCTATTACAGAACTTGTGTGAGGAAAGCAACCACTTGGAAAACCAAGACAGAAATGAGAGAATAAAATGGGTACTTATTTAAGAAATAGCTTAGGGCATAATGTGATATTCTGAGTTTGAAGACACGCAACTGAAAAGCCAGACAGAAACATTTGTTGATGAGGACCGATTATGTGAGAAATGAAGAAGTGTTAATTAGAGTCAGTGAGCAGAGGAATATCCTACACGAAATAAGAAAACGGAAGGCTAATTGGTTGGTCATGTTTTACGCGGAAACTGCCTTCTAAAAGAAGTTATCGAAAGAAAGATAGAGGGGCGGATAGAAGTGACAAGAAGACGAGGAAGAAGACGTAAGAAGATGCTGGATGACCTTGGGGACAGAAGAGGATACTGTCATTTGAAGGAGAAAGCTCTAGATCGCATTAAGTGGAGGAATTGTTTTGGAAGAGACTGTGGACCTGTCGTCTTGACAGATTACTGATGATGATGATGATGATGATGATGATGATGATGACTCCTGTATACGGTAGACGTCAGATTCTAGCAGAGCGTGCAGCTGAATGAAGTACATGTTCCGAGTCTGAATGTAGCTACAATTCATGTCATGTCGATGCAACAAAGAATCTACACGTCAAGAAGAAGGAACTGCAGCGTCTAAAATTATGACCGCTGCCGCTCTGATACGACATTTTGAACTGCGGGAGCGCATTACATACACATTAACATCGGTACACACCCACTTTTCATTCCTCAAACAACAGGAATTGTGTTACGATATGCTGTCCTGACATCCAATCACATTCTCCTTTCATGCTTGTTCTTGTATCTGAACATTGCGCTGACATAATAAAATCTTAGCTGCTAAAGGACTGTGTACATAACCTCACTGTAGCTATCACGGTTTCCTCGTTAGGCCAATTGTATGGAAATCATTAATTATTAATCAGTTCCACCTCACAGCTGGTCTCACAGCACGAGAAGTACAAATAAACATGATTCAGACGTGACCTTCACAGCGAAAGAACTTGGACTATTTGACGATCTTACACATTATATCATATAAATAGGGGCATACGCTGTTTATTCGTGGGTTATTTTACTACACCGACGGAATCCAGATTCTGCGGTGTCAAATGGTATGACGACTGGTGACGTGAAGATTGGATCGAAGCGGGCATAGTTTACTAAAGGTTTTAGCCCGGCATATTCCTGGACGAATGAGGAAAATCATGGAAAGTCCTGCCAGAGTAGCCTGTGCCCCTGTCGAACACTTCCTGAACAAGAACCTAGAGCCTTACCTGTACATACACCCGTTCGACTTCTGTAGTAATGATCCTCTATGTACGCAAACCTATGCGTCTACAGCATATATGGTTGTCAGTTGATATCGATACATCAATAGGATATGTCGAAAAAAAAATGACCAGACATCGATTCAGCGTAATTCCTTGGTGGCAAAACTGCTGAAAACTCGGAAATCCGTCCATTATATCCCATTTCGAGATGTTTCACTCCATTATTAGGAGCAGATAAAAATATAAGCAAGTTTTAACCATGACAGTTAGTGTAACTTGTGTAAAGGCAATATAGAACTGAATCCTATTAATAATTCAACATACATATTTAACTAACCCTTTAGAAATTGAAAATCTTCTAAATAGTATATAAAAATTCAGTACGTACCTCCCAGGAAACACATTATTTCACCGCTACACAAATCTACTCTATGGGCATAACACAGAACTTTACTGGGTTAAAACAGGTTGTATGTATAGTGACCACTCGCCTTTAAAACGTTAAATTTAAAAATTCCAATATAATTTACCTATGTAAGTGCTGAGGCTTTTAATATATATAAAGACAGCATATATATTTATATTTAATTAGTCCTAGCAATTACAAAACTCTAAAGTTTAGAGCTTTGTAATTGCTACGTACCTAATTAAATATAAACCAAAACTTGAATATTATATGTTGTCTTTATATGTATTAAAAGCCTCAGCACTTACATAGGTACTTACATTCTTATTGGTTTAGAGTCTAAACCAATAAGAATGTTTCGATGTCGATATAAACATCTTCCATACTGGTACGGAATTCCACACGAACTGAAATAATTACGTATAAATTTCTTCCAGTCCAGTAAACACTAAAATATCTTTTCAAAATCCGAATACAGACAAGTGTACTTTATATAAGAACATCTGAAGAATTTAATTAAAATTCACTTACATAATAATTCTACCTGTCCTTGTACTGATGCCGAACTTAGTCACTCAGTGTCATGTAAGAACAGACTGTGTTTGAACAGTATTTCGGAATAAACTGCTAAAAAGATTAATACCGGGACTATTGATAAGTCACAAGAATCCCCATAACTTCGTTTAACTAATACGTGTATATGAAGGTCACGGTAGCCAAGCGGCCTAAGGCATGCACTGTCTTCCCTCGCTCGGACGCCGGGGCCGTGGGTTCGAATCACATTCAGGGCATGGATGTTTAGTATTTGTGTGTGTGTGTGTATGTGCATTTTTCTGTGTTTGTGTACAGGTAGAGGCCTTGCGACGAGCTGATCACCCGCCCAAGGAGTCCTACCGAATGTTTAAGATCTAGTAAACCGATGTGAAAAGGAGAGTTTCATGGAGGTAGACCAAGGCCCATATTGGGGCTGTACTGCCAAAGGAAAAAAAGAATATGTGTATACACACAATAGTTCCTAATAATAAAAATAAACAGTTTAAAATCGATTTTAAACAGCCCCATACTTTGTATGTGATACCGTTTCTGTATTTGTATGTACCTTGGTTAAAATACTGTCACGTGTAGGGGTTTGACTATAGACAGAATTTGGATTTGTGAATCTACACACTTTATAAATCACTAGAGCACACGCTGTCTTCTCAGTCTGCTTTCACTAGTCGTTTACTGGTAATGAATCTTAACAATGGAAATTCTTCAGCTTCTGTGCTCACGTCGTTACTGTCCGGCGAATCTCCCACAACTGAACTCACTGCTCCAACTGTCTGGTTATAACATCTTGGCACGGATCACACAGAAAACACTGTTCTTCTTTTGTTGCCTTCGTGTCCCTTGCAGCGGGAAAGTGTGTACTGAGCATTTGCCCAGAAACGGTCGTTGTTAATTCGTCTATCTCGCAGTCGTTGCATAGCAACGGCTGTACACGCTACAATATGTACAGGGATGTATAATATGCTACAGAAGTTAACATCATGGAAAGACCCTATTAGTAATATTTGTACCTGAAATCTCTTATTGACAATTCTAAACAGAAATATTCCGCCAAATCCATACCCGCCTCTATAATACGAAACCTCTATACAGGAGGTTTCCAGATCTTTCGACATGACGCTTCCCTTTTCTTTTTAAACATATCTTTACACACCCCTCCATTTTTTCTTGTTCTTAAATTAAAATGACCGTTCAAATTCGCGTTTATATTATTGTTCATGATCAATTGTTTCGTAAGTAGTACCATAAAAAACAGCGTAAAACATTAAAATTTAAAGAGCAATTTTTTCTTGCTTCTCTTACATTAAGTAGCCGGGGTAGCGTAGTCGGCTTGGTGACTGGCTACGTGCTGGACGACTGAGGGGTCGGAGTTCGAGTCCCGGTAGGTACAAGAATTTTCTCTTCTCCAACTCGTCCAGACCTGCTCTGGGATCCACCTCCAATGGGTATCGGGGGCTCTTTCCCCGGGGTAAAGCGGCCGGGGCGTGAAGTTGACCACTCACCTCTAGCTAGTGTCGAGGCCAAGAAAATGTGAATGCATACATCTACTCCCCCATAAGACATGACGTAGCGCTTAATTCGTTGAGCACAGGGACAGCTTTACCTTACCCCTTCTCTTTCATTGCTGACGAATACTGTCGCAAAAATGTCAAGATTTAAGATCTCTACTTGTTTTCTCATATTCTGATTAACAATTACGACCGATGGTTATGAAACACATGATTAAATGTAGTTAAGAATGCTATTTCAGCTGACTTTCACATTTTAACCGGTTTCTTTTGTCATGACTTCATGCCACCCTGGAACCTCCTCATGCACCACAGGTTAGGAACCACTGCTCTAGCCCACACTGCAGATCATGCTCAAGTGTATATACGTATTATATTTCAGCATCCTGTTACACTCACACAATATATATGGATAAATACCGTCTTAAGTGCAACAAATTTTATTGTAATTTTTACTTCTTTTCCTCCTCCACACTACATGTTTCGGCCCTAAATGGCCATCATCAGGTGTGTATCACTCACGTAGCTGTTACACTGCTTGTTAAAATTTAAAATTACCAGTCTTTCTAATTGTATAAAATCTTTGTTAATCTACACGCGTCGATTTGATTTTTAAATTAGCACTTTTTAAAACTTAATTCAAGTTAAAATGTCTATAAGATCTCTGTTCTTTCTTTTTCAAATTTTTAGTTAAAATTTTTCGGGGTACATGCCCTATATCTACGGTGCTGCAGCGGCCACTTCTTGTTTTTATCGTTGTTCATGTGTTGTTCAGTGTAGGCGCTCTCTGTGTGTGTCGCTGCTTATCTTTAATACGTTTGCTGATGATGGCCATTTAGGGCCGAAACATGTAGTGTGGAGGAGGAAAAGAAGTAAAAATTACAATAAAATTTGTTGCACTTAAGACGGTATTTATCCATATATAGTATATACGTATATGAAGAGCCACTCCATTCAATAAGGTTACGAATTCGAGAACAAAATCGTTATACACATCCTGGTTCCGAAACATCATGTAAAAAGACAGAGGAAAACTTTTCTACGTAATAAAACAGTTTGTTACACAATGTCTTTGTACTTTATATGATAAATGTGGCAGGGCACTGACCTTCCATGCTGTGGTCCCACGATGCCGAAGTCGTAAGCGGAACTCGCCGCAAGGTCCGAGTCAGGAATGGCCCCAGATTCGAGCCCAAGAGGCGCCTCGCCATTCACTGTAAGCACATCCACAAAAATAAGAGCCCTTAGCACCACTTCGTTCTGCTATCAAGACACAGTATTGTGGCAAGGTTGAGAGCTCTATTGCTACATGAGGCATGAATGTGAAACAGACTGAACCATAAATGCTTTTACTGTTATAAGTCCCCTAAAATCTTACACATTCCTGAAAGTCAGTTGCGAAACAACATATTGTGATTGTGCGCTCGGTAACGACAGTACGAAAACAGCAAAACGTACACGAAAGCATTATAAGCAGGTATTCACAAACGGGTCACCCACACAACAGTATTTCCGAACCTAAAAATGGTGTTCCGCTACATGTTTCGACCTTCAAGAGGTCATCATCAGACGCATTTACAAGAATTCAATTTTAGTTCTTGGATTGTATTTTAATATGGAACCATATTATTACAATTTGTTTTAGCTGATAGCGAATACCACCTTACTGTTAAATAAATAAACACACAATAAAATACTCTAATAATATAATATTTAATTCTGTTTAGATATCAACATTTATAACTCTTTATATGTATACGCAGTTTGGATTTTAATATTACAGAGAGGATGTAAAAGAAGCTGAAGTGAATTAAATCTTCTCGCTCCGGCCGTTTTTTCCCAGTGAAATAGACGCCAGTAGACAGGAACGTACGTAGATTCAATAAACTGTCTGGTGAATGTGGTAAAGAGACAGGCGCTGACGGAAATCGAAATCCGGTCGCTTAGTTCGTATCCTGCCAATTTGCCAACTCAGCTGCCAAGGAGCCAGAGAGAACGGCTGATGAGTACGACTGGTGTCACGTGTCAGCTGCGCAGTCGTGATCTCACCGCTGCACGGCGATGAAACTATAAACTTGATGCTGACACGCAGTAGATATCAGCCCTTGCTGCAGGTTCGTAAGAATTGCAGACATATTCGTGTCATTGTTGACGCAACAGATGAATCATAACCACAAATAAATAACCACTCCTTTGCATTCAGTAGGAACTTTTACACAGCAGATTGCTTCCTCTTTGCGACGTGCTGAAGAAAATCGCGTGAAATTAGAAACATACGCAGATACCAGTTAATCGACATGATATTGTCACATATTAAGGAGTTGCGTGACTTATAAAAGAGGATTTTGGATTTGATGATCGAATTTATTGGACCTTTATACAGCTTGTTACAAACAAACAAACTCCGTGGCTTTAGACCGCAAGAGAACTATACCGACTGAGCGACCGCCGCTTGTCGGCGAAGTTAGTGACAACTTTAGTGGATAAGGGATGTCGCGTGGTCAGAGCAACGAATCCCCAGGGCCGATAATTTACAATTTGTTACAACATTTCAAAAATCACTATATTCGACTGGACACACCCGACTTCTGATCACTCTAATCCTCCAATTGAACTGAACTATGACTGGCTCTATTCTGACTCGATTCTGATTGGACCTGATCTGGGTTTCCTAACGTCGGGACGGACGGACGGACGGACCGACCGACCGAGAAAACACCTTTCCAGCTTGTATCCAAGGAAATGGTTGTTGATCACCCGTACCCCGTATTCAAGGAAAGGTCTCCCAGTAACGGGCCCGTTTCCTAGAGTCCATCTGCACGGAGAGAAGAGAAAAATCTTGCACTGTCGGCAACCGAACCCGGGCGGTCCAGCATCCTGCCGAGTACAAGCCACGTGAGTAAGTGTGGGGTTAAATTTCTCGGCCCTAGAATTTGAAGTTGGTGATATTTTCAGAGCGATTTCCCTCGCTTAACATTCTCTCAGTTCTTGCAATGACCAACTCATAATTCGCTTAGCGGGGGGTGGAGTCCAGATGGGTCCACTCGGCACGGCGGCCACTGATTGGCCTACTGTATCTGCCCCGGGTGATTATGATGATGGAGAATTTGGTGGAACGAAGATTGGCAGGGGAAACAGAAGTACTCGGAGAAAACCTGCCCCCGCGCCACTTTGTCCACCACAAACCCAATTGACCAGACCCGGGATCGAACCCGGGCCGCCGCGGTGGGAAGCCAGCGACTAACCGCTTGAGCAATGGCGCGGCCCGATATGCCTCTTCCTTTTTTCCCCGTTGACGGCGGTAATGAGCATAAACTGCGGTCCTATAAACGCACATAAACATGAACGAGCTAAGAGATTCGGAAACGCGATCATCGCTTGGCCTAAGGTAAGCACGTGATATAAAAATGGCGTCTATTAACGATCCTGAAGACTATACATGTAGGTATTTTGTGGCTGTTTCTACGTGAGTCCACCCCACAGTTCGGGCTACTTCAGCAGTTGCAACGTAACTGCTAGACCTATTAGTTTCGACTGCGGTTACCACTTCCTTGGTGTTGTGACACTTATTAAACGGCCGACCATTAATCTCCTGAGACAGCTAGTTCCTCCCATCTGCGTACTAACAAACGACAAGTTTTACAACTCGCCAAGCAAGTAATAAGTCAGTTGCCCAGGGAAATTACCCGCAAAAGAACAAAGTACTGCAGTTGTGGTCCCAGTTAGCTTCACAATATGAGCTGATGTTAGCTGTTGGTTGACACCAGTGTTTCCTTGGCTCGACTGTCGGTGCTTACACTTACTTACTCATGGAGCTGAGCCCTTCTGGAGGAGCCGCCAATTCTGCAGCTACTCAAGAAGTTCCCAGCATTTTATGGAACCCGAAGGTTCATTACCGTGTTCACAAGAGCCCTCGACCGGTCCCTATCCTGGGCCAGATCAATCCAATCCATATCATCCCATCCTATCTCTCTAAGATCCATTTTATTATTGTCCACCCACCTACGCCTTGGTCTTCCCAGTGGTAACTTTCCTTCTGGTTTTCCCACCAATATCCTATACGCATTCGTCTCCCCCATTCGTGCTACATGCCCTGCCCACCTCATCCTCCTTGACTTGATCATTCTAATTATACTTGGAGAAGAGTACAAGTTATGACGCTCCTCATTGAGCAGTTTTCTCCAACCTCCTGTCACTTCATCCCTCTTCGGTCCAAATATTCTCAACACCCTGTTCTCAAACACCCTCAGTCTATGTTCCTCCCTTAATGTCAGAGACCAAGTTTCACACCCATACAGAACCACAGGCAAAATTATAGTAGAACATATATGTTTTTCACACAGAGATACTGAGTTTTTGGACTTTGTCCATCGTCCGGATTCCAAATAACTAAGAAAAGAACACAACGTTTCGGAAACTAGATCTGTTTCCGTCCTCATGTGAGGGAAGACACCTACTCTGTTGGGTCTCTTAGAAAGAGCTAGCCTCAATCACTGGACCAATGAAACGTTATGTTTTTTCTTAGTTATTTAGAATCCGGACGATGGACGAAGTCCGAAAACCCAGTATCTCTGTGTGTTATACACCATCGTCAGAACCCTATAGTATATATGTTTTTACTGTGAATGAAGTAGAAAGAAAATCTGAGATCAGTAGCTTTTCTTTATTGAATAGTGGAATAATTTTCCTTCACTTATTTCCGTAAACTATGCTATGTCAAAAATGTAAGAACTATAATTTCGCCTGCGGTTCTGTATGGTTGCGAAACTTGGTCTCTGACAATAAGGGAGGAACATAGACTGAGGGTATTTGAGAACAGGTTGTTGAAGAGAATATTTGGACCAAAGGGAGATGAAGTGACAGGAGGCTGGATAAAACTGTATAATGAGGAGCTTCATAACTTGTATTCTTCTTCAAGTATAATTCGAATGATCAAGTCGAGAAGGATCAGATGGGCAGGGCATGTAACAAGAATGGGGGCGAAGAGGAAGGCGTATATGATTTCGGTGGGAAAGCCAGAAGGAAAGAGACCACTACGAAGATCAAGACCGAGGTGGGTAGATAATGTTAAAAAGGATTGGGTGGGCTAGTATGGACTGGATTCATCTGTCTCATAATAGGGTCCAGTAGAGGGCTCTTGTGAACACAGTAATGAACATTTGGTTTCTATAAAATGTTGGGAAATTCTTGAGTAGATGGACAACTGGTGGCTGTTCTAAAGGACTCATCCACATGGAATTAATTACACTATATACACATCGATCGGGTTGGCGTAGGCGAATTTGGGAGGAACCCATTTCGAATCTCCACTGCGACACCCGCTATCGTGATTTTCTTACGGACCTCCAGACAAATATCTACCAATTCCTCGATTAGGCCACAGTCGGTTCCTTCCAAACCCTTTCTAATGTACCTGACGACCTGCCAATCAACGCTATATACGTATAATCTACATGGGGCGTAAAATGACCCCACTCCAAATGCTATGTAACTTATGTATTTAATGTACTAATTCCATGGAACTGGAGCCTTCATATCATCATTATCATCATCGGAAAAACAGACTTTTTAGCCACAGCCTCTCTGGAAGATTCTGTCAGATTCGTCTGAATCAGATCATCCGGTTTTCATTTCTTAGGATTTCCGAGCAGTTATTTTTTTTACAGAGAAAGTTCGTCAGCCTTGCGTTGAACCCCCAACCTGCAGGGCCAAGTCCTCATATTTATATCGCTCAGGAGTAGTGTGTTCCAGTTATACCCACAGGCACCGGGTCCCCTTTTCGTCGTCTTCTACGAGTGCACGGTGATGGTGGGGGTATTCTAGCCCGCCTCCACCCGGGGAACTGAGGCCCTGTAGAGAATAATAAATTCTCATAATTTTATAGAACCCCAAGGTTTAATACCATACTCGCAAGAACCTGCCAGTGACCTCTATGCCGAACCAGATGAATTCAGTCCACACGCTCCCATCCAATTACTTTAAGATCCATTTTAATATTATTCTTCCATGTACGTCTATATCTCTCTGGTGGTCTCATTCCTATAGGTTTTCTTGCTAAAGTTTTGTACAGGTCGACTAAAAAACTGCTATTTCAGACAAAGAAACGGCACTGGTACTTCCAACAACAGGCGTTCCCTTGACGAAATAGTAAAGACCATATTTAAATGTAACATTTATAAAGCTTTATCACGTTTATATAAAATGATAGTCGACA